TAGGCTAAATATTCAATTTAGGTTTATTAAACGGGATTTATAATTAATTAAATTTATTAGGAGGATTATTCTTTCCTTAAATCTAACTTCTTCCTTCCTAGAATTCTGAATAATTATATTAATTATAATAACAAACCCTTTTATTATTTAATTAAATTAATAGCTTAATAATTCTTATATTTACTATCTTTTATATAATTACTAATTTAATCCTACTAATAATTATCTTTTTTTAATTGCGCGGAAAATTTCGCGTTTCTTTACTTTTTAGGAATACTTTTATTCTATTAGACTTTTCTACTTTAGGCTAAATACCCCCTTCTAATTTAGATACCCTCTTTATAATCCCGCTATAGTAAGAAAATAATAAGATCGAGGATCGATTTAATTATAGTATTGCTAAATATTAGTATATATAAATATATTCGTTATTATAGTAAAAAGTTAGAGGGTATTTAAATTTGTAGGGTTCGGGTTGTAATAAATAAATTAATTTACTAAATTATATAATATTCGGTATTTCTTAATAAAAATGTTTAATTTTTATATAAATCGCTATAATTACCTATACCTATTTATACTTCCCCCAAATTATTAATTTAACCAATTAAAGAGTTAGAATCTCCTTAATTTTTATCCGGTTTCCTTATTACACTACGGCTTAAAATTGAGGCGTAATATAGTAAAAATCGTAATTAAAAGTTACCTATAGCGTTTTACCCCTATAATATAGGGGGTCGCCGTCGCAAACCTAAATTTTTTTTTCTTAATACAATAAATAAAGCTATTCCTAATTGAAATCTACTATTTAGATTGAATAGTAATTTCTATAATATATATATTATAGCTAATAATAAAGATAAATAGAAGGGAAGATATAAAAAAAATCCTATAGGGATGGTAATAGTTATATAGAATTCTTAAATATAGTTTATTGAGAGCAATGGTCTTAGTGTACCTTAAAGTTACTTTAAAATTACAAAATATAATTATAGACTATATATAATAATATAATATTAGGGTTAATTTTTTACTATAATAACGAATACGCCCTATAATTCAATAATATTAATATAACCGTAATTTGTACAAATTAGATTTAATATACCTAATAGCTCCGATATAACCGGAGAAGTAAGAATTATAACTAAGTATATAATAATAATATAAATAGTAAAGGGAAATAATATATTTAATTTAATTTATATAAACCTATAGGATATTTTATTATTTATCGTATTTTGTAGGCGTTATAAGGGCATCGTAGAGGATATCCGTATTATAGTAAGAAAATTACAAATATATTAAACCTTATTAGGGGGGTCCAATATTTACATTTTAATAAACTTTATTACAAATATAAGAGGTATAGTACAATTAGCACAAATACTAGCCTTAATTAATTAATATTTAAAATTCTACAAAAAAGAAAAGAAAGTAAAAAATAGTCTCTAAATAAACCCTATCTACCTCTGTTCCCCCGCTTTATATAAAATATAGGTCTCTTTAAACTTTAAATAGGTAAGTGGGGTGGTTTTGGAAATTGTAGGTCTAACTGAGATTAAATAGCTTAATAATTCTTATTATCGTTTTCTTTCTTAAAATCGCTAATTCGATTCTAAATAATAATGCTTTTTTTTCCATTATACGAAAATTTTCGCGCTAAAGTGAAAGTGTAAATAGCCTTATCCGGCGCTACCCCCCTACCCCTTAGGCTCTCCTCCTACCCAGGAAAAAAAAAAAAAAAAAAAAAAAAAAAAAAAAATAAATAGCCCCCTTAAGTAGCCCTTCAGAAGGTCATTATAGGGGTCTTAAACTTTCACCATTTTACACCCAAATCCAACCAATTAAAAGCCTCCCTCAACCAATAATATTTATTTTTATAATAAAACTTATCTAATTATTAACTCTAATAAACCAATTAAACTTTAGAACCCCCCTTTAAAATTTAATACCCTCCTTATATTCCTACTATAATATAAAGTAATAAAGGGAAATATATTTAAATTCGGGAGGGAGGAATCGTACGGAATATTAATATAAAATAAGATTATTAAATTCGAAATTAAATATTATAATAAATATACTTAGAATAAAAAATAGATTCAATATAAAAATAAAAAGGCCGGAAGAAAAAAAATTAATATAATTAGAATAAAGGAAAAGGAAGAAACGATTAAGGGTAATCGGTTTTTATACTTAAACTATAGATTATTACTAGTACCTAATTTATTACTTTCCACTCCAAATAAAAATACCTAATCTGAAAAGGATTACTATACTAAATAACTATTAAAATTACTATTACTATTAAAAGAAAAGAGATAAAAGATTATTACTACCTTAACCATCGAAGGTTACCGCCTATATAATAACTTTAAAAAAAAGGATAAATTAATTATATAGGAAGCAAATACTGAAGGGTCAAATATTTTATTACGAATTAAACGAGTAATAATTACAAGAAAATATATCCTATACTTAAAATCTATAATTAGATAATTTATAAAAGATTTATATAATACTTCTATCTTCTTCCCCCGCCTTTTTCCTACTTTTCCTTTCTTCTCCTAAAATAACGATATTAAAAAGCCTAAAATATTTAAACACTTTCTTTTCAATTATAGTAATTCTAATTTAATACTACTTATCCCTTTTACTCCTTTAAATTTAATTAAATATATTCTAAAGTATTAAATATCTACTTCTTATTTTTTAATAACTACTAATCAATTACCCACTCGGATCTCACATTATTATTATATTTTCCAATAACCGTACTTCTTTTAATAATAAGGGTTAGGCTACCCCGACTATAAGCAACACGGCCAAATCCAACAAGGCTAATAGTAAGAAACCTTAATAGCCTAAATCCAACAAAATTAACGGCAAGAAACCCCAGCCGCCTACTCGTCCTAATTAATCATCGATTAGCCCTACCAAATAGAGTCCGACCGGTCTGCTAATCGCTAATAGCCTTAATAGAAGAATATTTATATTTAAAACGAACTATCAATTTAAATAGACTAAGCCAGCCCTTAAAATGGCAATTAACTGGACTATTATCAATTAAATACTTCGACTAAATAAAAATATTACGCCCGAATTAATATTAGAGGTATTTAAAGGCCTTACGGAACAGTATATTAAAGAATATTAGGGATTTCTTTAAAATCTACTCAAAATTATTATTAAATAGTTATATATTATAAGAATAAACCAACTGCGTAATTAGGTACCGAAATTTAATAATAAAAATATATCTAATCAAACGTATTTCGGCCCTCCTCGGGATTTGAAATTAAAAGGAGAATATATACCTCTCGCCTATCCTAAACTAAGCGAAAAGTAATAGGACTAGCAATTCGATACTAACCTACCCTATAAAGAATAGGATCCTTATAATCTATTCAATAAACTTTTCTACTCTAATTTAGTACCTAATTAGGCGGGCGCTTTTCTAGCCAATTCGAATAGCTTCGTAGAATAGAAGCAATTAGTAGTACGCCTAGCTAGCCTTTAGTATAGTATTAATAAATATATTTATACTTATATTAATAATTTAATTACTCTACTATTATAGGTAATTAAAAAACAGTTAACGATAATCTTTATACTAAATAAGTACGCTAAAGTAAATTTACCGAATAAGACCCTAACGATAATATTGGATATATCTATTATATAACTATATATATAGGAAAAAAGGTTCTAAGTAATCCCTATCTATAAAGATAAGCACCTTTCAATAGGCATCTTTAATTAGTTTACGGGTTAATAGGACTATTATAACTCTATTTTCGGAGACTCTATACTAAAAAATATAGTAATAGCCCTACTTTCATTCTCTATTCAATTTAATATTTAGAAACTACTACCTAAAGGTATTATACGAAGAGTAATTGTTCGATAAATCAAATTTACTATTTAGAAAGCCCTGTAAATTTGTAGATTAATAGTCGTAGAAGTAATACGAATAAAGTTACTAGAATACGATCCAAACTTCTAAATAGTAATATTAAAGACCTAGGATTAGAGTACTATATAGAAGGATTATATAATATTTAAATAGAAATGGAGAAAGAATATTATAGTACGGTAATACTAAAGAGTAATCTATAATACTTTACAGATAAAGTAATAGCGCCCCAACGGCCTACCTTATTTACTTGAATTCGAGAAAATCTATATAGATAATGAGAGATTAAATACTATAGAGGTACTATCTATTTAGAATACCCGTATCGAAGGCTCCTAAGGTAAGCCCTAGCGCTTTATTTAGCTAATAAATTACTTAGTATTTTCTTTTAGAGGAAGAATAGTTAGGTAAATAAGAATAGAGATCTAATATAGTTATTGGTTAAATTTGGGTCCTAACGCTATTATTAACCTTCTTCAATTTAAATATTCGATAATAATACCTTCTATCGAAAAAGACTCTCTATTATCCAATTCTTCTATTTTTAATTCTATACCTTCTATAATACAATTTAGAAAGGCTAGAAGATTAATTTCCTCTTCCAGTAATATTTATTCGCCCCTACCTAGGGATCTATCTTAGAATTCGATTCTAACCCTACCCCGTAAGATTATAACTCGCTTTTAGAGTTTTAAAGTAGCAAATTAGCTACTTTATCCTCTATTTTCATTTTACTTAATAGTATTATTACCTTTAAACCGTCAATCTAGTAGGAGATAAAGTATTTCTATTTAATTAATTATTAATAAATAACTACGCTATAAATTAGTATTTACTATATATAGCCCTCCTAGGGTAATTGAGAATTTTTCACTTAAGAAAAACTAATTAGCTATTAATTCCTCTAGATTTTAAGATATTACTAAATTCGCCTACCCCTTCCAATTCCTCGCGGTATAGGCGTACCCCGTCTATTCCTATATTTATACTATAGTAAGGATTGTCCCTAATTAGTAAATCTAATAATTTTTATTTAATTAAAGAAATTCCTATTATAGACTATAGCCTAGTAATTAATTAATTAATAGTAGAAGTACAAATCGACCCTAATAATTATAAATTCCAAATAAACTCCTTGGTTCATCCCGTTCGCCGTATAGAACGTAATTTAGAAAACCTTCGCAAATATAATCCTAATAACCCTTTACTATATATAATAGATTTTAAGGAAAGATTTAATCCAATAATTCACTTAAAATTAAAGGTACTTAAATAAATCCTAAAAATATCTTAGGATATATAATTTAAACTAATAAATAAAAGACTTATTACGGAAGGATATTAAAATAGGGTTAGTAAGAATATAAATAGCCGTTGAGGGTATAGGAATAATAAGGATAAGATAGAACTGATTATTTTATAGTAGTATATTTATTTAGGGTCTTTTTGTTTAGATTTAAAGGGAAGATTTGATTTGGGGAATATAATATTATAGAAATATATATATTAATTTTCTATAATAATTTTCTTTTTTAAATTTTCTAGTAACCTAAGTATATAGATTAAGAATATATTTATAAAATTAAGAAAATCTAATTAGTTAATATTAATGGAAGATAGAGTATAAAGAATTAATCTAATAAAATAATAAATTGAAGAGATAGAAAAGTAGGAATAGAAAGAGATAGGAAGTAGAATAAATAATTAATAAGATATTAATACTTAATTACAAATAAAATAAAGAGTTATTATAATATTCGTTATACTAGACTAATAACTTAGGTAATTATATATTCTAATTTATAAAGATTATCTTTAGTAATCTCTAATTATCTATCCTCCTTCGCTTGTAGTATTGAATAATCATTTACTCCTCTTAAAGGGGTCCCTATTCATTTTTCCATCGCCTTAAACGAAAGAATATTAGAAAAATCCGATAATCATTCCCATTCTTCAATAAAGATAAAACCTTAAACTATTTTATAGATATAGGAGTTTAATAAACCCCGCCCAATTCAGTACCTCCTATTTCGACCATCGGAAAGGTATGAAGATTACCTATTACCTTACCTAATTAATTAGCTAAGGAACTACGGTTCTTTTATAGTATATTAGTTTAGATAGTTTTATTATTATAATTTTCTCCTTATTTCAATATATATATATATATATAACCAGAACCTACCTATACTTAATTAAAGGCCCAGTATCCTTATATTCCAGGGTCTACCCTTTAAATATTATTTTTCCTCCTATTATTTTACTAAAATATAATTTATAAAAATTTAATATCCTCCTACGTTTTTTCAAATCTAACTAAACTTAATCGGAAATCTACTTCTTTTACTAGCAATATAATAATAGGATAATACTACTTATTTTAAACCTAAAACCCTTTATAAAGGCTACCTAATTTAAAATTAGAGATAAGGATAGTTGAGTGCGTGCTGCGATTTAATAATATTCGTATATATAAGTTTATTTATTTCTCCTTCGCCGGATTAAGGGTAGAGGTATTTCGAGAAGGAGGTAGTACTATCCCGGACTAGGGGTAGAAGTATTTTAAAAAGAAGGTAGTACTATTCTAAATTAACTATTTTTTAAGATAGAGGTAGTACTATTACTAAAGGTAAGGCTTTAGTAATTAATAAAGTTAGTAAAAATATAGAAATAGAAAAGGAATTAGGTAGTAAATTCGAGATTTACTACGAAGGATCTACTCCTAAAGATTATATAAATTCCTTTAAATTCTATATTTCTAATCTTTTAGAATCTAAAAAGTGAATTAGTATGAAATTAATTAAAGAGATTCGAGGACTCTCAAAACGGTCCTCAAATATTAGAGGAATTACTTTATATTAGACAAGAAATAACTACTAACACTTAAGGATATCGAATATCTATCTCCATTTTAGACAAAAAGGATTAAAATATAGAATCAAAAGGTTAAACTTCCTATAAAGGACGATTTACCCTTATATTCCAAGGGCTTCCCTCTTTAGGAAAGTACTGTAACTACTCTACCACTCCCCTCCCTATATCTATAATAAATAATTATTTAATAGAGCTAAATCTCCTCTATAATTTAAAATTACTAGAATATAGGAGCTACACTTCTAGCCGGGAGAGTAAAATAATATTATATACGGCCGGTAATATATTTATAAAAATTGGTAATACTTTATAAAGAATAATAAATATTAAAATCTACTTAAATTTTACATCTACTATTAAGAACATATAATAACGATTCTCAATGCCAATATCCAAAGTCTAAATACTACTATTTACAATATTAATATATATAACTTCATTATTAATAAAGAAATTCAATATCATATCGATATTTTATACCTATTACCTCCTTATTAAGTATAATCTCCAACCTATATACAACCTAACTAGAATAATAAGAAGAATTTCGCAATTCTCTTCTCCTATACCTACCTAATTAAGAAAATCAGGCCTCGCCTCTTTACTATCGAATAAATATTCGGTATTTTACACCCTCAATTTAATAATTTTTTTTAAAACTTCGTTTATAAATTCACTAACTATAACTACTCTATCTAATAGAAGGTAGTAAACTTCTTTTACTATAACCTACCTCAACCTTAGAAGGGGTTAATAATAATTAATATTAGTTTAAAGGAATTACTAATTTATAATAACGGTTTTAAACCTATAACTATAGCCCGGCAAACTTTTATAACTATTAATAAAAGAAGAAAGAAATACCCTTTATATTAACCCTAAAGGTATTTATAACCTTTCCCAATATATAAAACACCTTAGAACGGCAATAAACTACTTCCCTATACGGTTATATATAATAATTACTATAAGTTTAAATTATATTAATTCCCCCCCCCTAAGACTATATTCTCTTACAAAGCTTTATAATATATTATCAAACATACCTAGTCTCTAGCTTATATATAACCCAACTAAAAAAAGGAAAAAAATCTTACAATCCTCTTCCCCTATACCTACTTAATTAAAAAGATCCGGCTTCGCCTCTTTACTATCGAATAAATATTTAATATCCGGCCAATCTTCGTAAATTTATTATATAAGTAAGTAAGTAAATATCATACTTTATCGAATACTAAAATAAACAAAATAATACAATCCATTAAACACACACCGAAAAGGCTCTCTTTAGAACCCCGAAGAATATTAGAAATATTAGACGTAATAGGAGGACGGGGAGGTTATCTTTCCGAACGGCCGAAAACAACGCCAATTCACTACTGTCGAATCAATTTACAATACTAATAATATTTTTAATTACCAAAGTAAAAGAGTATAATTAATAAATATATCCCTATATTAATATTTAGCAATTTAGAGGTAAATAAAATAAAAGACGTTTATCGATTTGGATGAGGATATTTCCAACCTACTTAAATTTAAATTAAAATTGAAATAATAAATTCAAAACCGCAACTATACGTACAGACTCAAGCTTATTATTATTATACCTACCGTAGCAGGAAATCCCCCAAGACATTTAATATAGTAGACTTTATTAAACTAATTTAATTATTTAATAAAGGGCTTTAATTAATTAAATTAGGTACCCCCTATAACAATATACTTTATTAAACTTAAAAATATCTTTTTTTTTTCTCTCTTTTTTTTTTTATTTTTTTTTAGATTAGGCTGCCCTTTCCTAAATTCTAATATTCGAATCCTTACTTAAATATAAAAGTAGAAATAACGAACCTTCTTCCCAATTAATTAAGCCAATAGCTCAATACCAATTCTCATTATTACTTCTCTTCTTCCTATTACTAATTCAATCCCGCTAATAATTATCTTTTTTCGTACAATAAATTTCGTACGAAAATATAAATATCCTCGTCCAAATTTCGGACTTCGAAGTCAAAATCAAAGACCACTACCAAAGACCGGGCACTACCTCTACTAAAGACCACTACTAAAGGCCCTTATAACAACCTTCCAAAAAGTCTTTATAAAAATCTTTAACTTTTACTTTTTTACACCCAAATCCAGCTAATTAGAGACCTCCATTTTACAACTAACTTTACTATTCTTATATATAATTTCATTTAATTATAATTAGGATTTATTAACGTTTAAATCTCGTCAATCGTCTTACCTTTCATTTTCGAAATATATTAAAACCTCCTTACACTCTAAGATTTATAACTATAATATATTTAACTAAAATAATATTTAATAAGGAAATTCCTAAATTTCCATATTTTTCGTATATATAACTTACTAACTATAATAGCCCGGATTAGCTAGGCTACCGTAGAAGCTTCCTTACTATACCGTACCCAGTCTAAACATCCAAACTACTATACCCAAACCACCCCGTAACCCGTACTTAAACTCTCTCTACATAATATATTTACTACATACAAACAACTGGCTAGAAGCCTTCCTTCCTTCTTACAACATCTTCCTTTACTTTATCTTATTTACTATTATAAATAAAGGTCACCCCTCGTATTAATATTTGCCCGAGGACGGTTATCCGTAGTCTCAATTCTCAATAACCTACTTACTTCCAAAACCCACCCTACCCAAAAGCTCGAACAGTCCTAATAAATCTACAATACCTATCTCTTAATTAAATCCACATTACCCACACTAATTCGTAACCCAACCCCCCTATATAATATACTAGCAAATATCAGTTCCATACAAGTTAACTTCTTAATATTTCAAAGCTAAATATAACGAAGGTCTGCTAAAGTACTGCACAATAAATAGTCGTATATAATTAAAATACTATATTTAACAAAGAGAGCAAGAGAGAAAACTGCACCAGAAGGGTACAATTGAAAAAAGGTTTTATAATCGGGCGTACGGGCCAGGTATATATATAGATCCGACTAATTAAGAGGCACGCATCCTTATTAATATAACCCAACCCGTCTTAGAAAACTTAATAAAACCAAGTCTTAATCCAAGATACTAGCCCTATAATAATAAGAACCAAACTTCTAATAATATTAAAAATAACTATTATATATAATTAAACAAATTCAAAGACTAATTATAGGTCTTAAAAACCTTGGACGGATAGTTTCATAAATCATTTCTATTTCTCATTATAGATATATATAAGTAAATTTTCAGATTCACTATTTCAAACTTCAATTTTAATATTACACTTTCATTACATTTAGTAAATAGCTTAAATAAGGAAGCGTATATTACAGAAGAATATAAATACTTAATCCAAATCAATTAAATAAATTATATAAAAGACTATACAAATTATTAATAAATCAAAAC